TAGTTAAGACAAGGAGTCTGGGAACCGTCTGCTTCTTTTTAGATCGGGGTGCCCAAAGAGAAGATCCCCAGATGCTGTCGAACTACAACTCTAATGATGCTTTGCACGCCTTTATAATTATTTAGAATGACAAAGCATCATTGAAGTTGAAGTTTTGAAACATCTGGGGATCTACTTTTTGGCCACCGTTGATTTAGATGAAACCATATCAAAAGATGTGGGAGAGTTTTATACTCAAAATATTTTTTGTTTGTTTTTGTAATTTGCAAGAAAATAAAAAATATAAAAAATATAATCATAACCTCTCCAAGAAGTCCCTAGATGGTAGATATTTAGGGAGGGTTTATGATCATTTCTATTAAACTACTGCACATTTTAAAATTTAGTCTAGGACGGTACTTAAATTTATTTCATATTGGAAATATCAGAGACATGATAAACATTTAATGTTAAACTCAAATACAACCTGCTAAGTGTCTCAATGATTTAGGGAAAATGGCTACAGGTTAAAAATAGATTGTAAGCAAGATTTATATAAAACTTAAAAACCACAGGACCCATCTTGAGCTTTATAAGAAAGAGCCAATGTCATTCATCTTAATGCCAGCTGCCTTTGCTGCACCAGTAGACAACAATAAAAATAAATCTATGTCTTTGAAGAATAGTATATAAAAATCAATATGGTGTTCAAATATTTGTTTTTTTTATTATCTAAAATCATTTATCAGGTATATTAAGGGACACACAAAGTTTAACTAAAAGTATTGAAGAAAACATGTCCAATGTATCATATACTTTGTTTTTTACAGAATATCAGCCGATTTAATTTAAACTTATAGATATGTTCTAGCGTATAAAAGAGCTAATGTTTGAGTGTGTTGAGTATTCTTTAGATCATTTTAATAAGGTGAAGTGCTTTTCAAGTACAGTAAAATATGATAACTGATCTTTTATTGGGAAATCCTATGAAAAGCTGAAATTGTAGATCTATATAGAAAATACATTATGTTATACTAGCAAATATATAGTTCATAATTTCTATTTCATAACTGACAGCAATATTGCTTGAAACCATTACATGCAGCTAAGATATCTGGTGGCATTTCCCATTGTAATTAATGACTTTCTCAGTTTCTGTCGACACGGTTTGTGATAATGGTGCCTTTAATCAACAGTTGCTGAATAAAAGCTACTGTTCTCAATAATCATGTGAGGATGAGAAAGGCTGCAGGGAGCTTTAGTTCTCACCTGAACAACCTCATTAAGCTGAAGTTGTTCAGGTGATTATAGTGTCCCTTTAATGAGAAGCCTATATTAGGTGAAATTAGGACATTGGTCAAATATACAAGCCAAGGTCAAGAAATGTAGAGAATCAGGATAAGCAATAAGTCTACACACAGATCAAGGAGTGGAGAAATCTGAAAAATTGATAAACAAGACCAATTCAATGTCAAATATCAGGAAAAAGCATGGAATGTGCTATTGAGTAAAGAAGAACCACGACAGCGAACATGGATACTGAGGAGTTAGGTTTAATCTAAGATAGATAATAATAGCCACAAGCTGTCAATATTAACAATGCTTATTAGATAGTAGCGGCCACTTTACTGAAAATTGTCAAATAAATGTCCTACTTATTTTTAGAAGGCCAAGTGATATCTATCACCACTGATAATGACCACCACATAGTGATTACATTTTGTGAAAAGTGTAGCTGCAGCTAGCACCAGTGCACTATATTTTTTAGTTTCTTCACATTTATTGGGCCTTCTCACTATTATTAGTGTAAAGGAGTTATGTAGGGCCGTCAGGAGGTACGATTACAGGGGCTCAAGAGGCTGGGCATCTCCTGGGCTCTATTTATTTACCCTTCACCCAACCATCAACAGGATAAAAGATGGACAAGAAGTCACTTTTAAGATCCCTACCTGGTATTTTTCATGTTCAGGGCCCCCATAGTTTATTTCTTTATATTTCAATGTTTAATTAAAGTTGATGGAGGGTTGACTGTGTGTGTTAGATAATTATTTATCTCTAATGAATGTATCGGAGGTAGCAGTTAATAACCACCAGGCAAGAGGCAGGTATTGTGTTTTAAGGGAGGGTGAAAGCTGTTTCCAATGTGTCCCCCATTATATTCTAGCCAATAACAGTAGTGGCAGATATTAATTCCCTGTTGCCAATGGTAAACTTTACTAGTTGGGACACAACCAGTTGGGAGACAGCCACTACTCACTAATGATAGTGACAATGACTTTAATGATTAGCAACTGGCTGGCAAACAATAGTAGCAAGGTTGGAAACAAGAACCAGTTCGGAACTAAAGGAATTATTTAATTCTAAATTTTGAAAGACACAACTAAGTTTAGTTATATTTAAAGTATTGTGTCTCTTTAACCTTCTAAACTTTTTACCATTTATTTTATATAAAGCATTATGAAGTAAAAAAGCTATTTATTTTGTAGCAGTGCTTATGTTTATCTGTATATAGAACATATTAAGATTAATGGTTTATGTAACTCAGTATTTGTTTGGTGCAATTTTTTTGTTTGTGTTGCATTATAAATTGTTCCGTTGTTGCTCATTTTGCAGGCGTCTGACACAAGAAATTAGTCATCCGGAAACAAAATTATTTGTATAATTTCATGCATTTGAATGTGCTGTTTTTTAATCACACATAAATAAGATTTATTTTTTTCTAATACACTGACAACATATCAGGGTTGTGAAAAACAGTCAAAGCAAATTCTAGTAAGTTCCTAAGTATGTGTTCTTTTTTTCATTTGAAAATGCAGGTAACAAGGCTTTAAATGCTTGGGTTTCAAACACTCCACATTAAGCATGTGGCTAATACTGCAAACTTTTAAATATCTGTTTTCAGAAAAGCAATAAAGTCAAAAGCGCCACCTGGAAATCGCTGTGAACATCTGTTTAGAAAACTAGAAGTAAATTTGCAGTTATTACTCTCAATTCTCTTGGGTTACAAATTGAGGAACAGGTGCTAAAGATGTAGTGGTTCTTAAATATTTAATGCGCACAAAATATTCCCAAAGAAATGAATTTGGAAGATATTCATAAGGATGTATATTCTGAGTTGCACAAAGCTGTTCTTGTGTTACATATAAAGAATGCTATTAAACTATTCTTAATTATTGAGTGAAACACTTCAAAGTATGTAACAACATTCTTCAAATTTGTCCTTAGGAAAATCAAGCAAGCCAGTGAATTATTCAGTCCCTTAATTATTTTATTGAGGCATCTATAGGTATATCCCCAAATCATGCACTGGAATTTAACTCCATACACGGGAAGAAAATACTGCAGACACTGAAATTAATACCGCTCTACCTAGGTAATATATTCTGCTGGAGTGTCTTAAATTGTATTACAAAATAAATGAATATCCGTATGTGAGCAACATAACACATGTTGTAATACCAAGATATTAATCTACTGCCTAGTAGACGTATGCACAATTTTGATGCCGTAAGTGGAACTCTGAATCATGAATCAAATGCACATTCCTTGACGAGTCATTGGCTTAGTGATTATTCTATATTGTGGTTTTGGAATTTAGAAAATCTCTGAATTGGACCCAAATTTCTGAATTTTTGGATAAAATCCCTCACTATAATTGTAAATGTTTTTTTAATTTTTATTTTTTTGCACTGCATGGTGTAACATACAAGCTCTCATAGTCATTGCACCATAGTAATAGTAATAATAAATAATAATGTAAGTGACACAGATAATGGCGAGGAGAAACTGCACTTTTTGTTTAAGTAAGTAGGAAAGACATCAAAAGTACTATTCTATGATACTGTAGATGAACAAAATAAGATAAATTATAGAACAAAGCAGAGGGATATTTCAAAATGTAGATACCCCTGGGTAAGCACAGTAGCCTAGTGTAGCCATTTAGTTAGTGCACCAGAAACAGGTCATAAGAACTGAATTGCAGCAAACATTGTACAAAAGGAAAACAGTAATAATGCTACTGGACTAAAGGTTCAGCTCACAGGCCACTCGCCGGTGCCATGAGATGGTGAGCCCCAGCTCTATCTGCGACTCCAAGTAGGCTCTTCCATCTGAGCCAGGCTGCGAGACAGTCTGGTGGTATTTTATCCAGGGTGGTAACTGAAGCTTGATGTTGTGGCTCCTTGGCATTGCATATCCTGTGACAAGTTGAGTAGGTGATTGGGTCAGACAGGCTGTGCAGAGGATGAAGAGTCTTGTTCCTCTATAGTTGGGACAAGTTGCAACGAGCATAAAGGCTATAGTGGAAAGGGAAAGCCGACCTCCTCGATGGCTGCTTGTGACGTCTCTTCCACAGTGCCCCTCTGGGGAGATACAAGTAATGTTTAAACATACATCAACATCTAGCAGGACAGCTCTTGCGGGCCCCGGCTCTGCCATCTGGAGTGAAGGTAAGTCTCCTATCATGCCCAAAAGAGCATGTAAATGCAATTGATTAGCATATCCACATGCTGAAGCGAGCACGATGGTCATTTTAGTTGCCAGGCTTCAACCTTACAACCTGTGACATGTCATGATTCCCTTTTATTCCAGAAGTTTGGTCCCTAAGGGGTTAAGGTGCATTAACTGATTTTCCCAGAGAAACTTCAGCACCATGCAAATAACTAGGCCCATTCTTTGTGAATACTGGTAGGCATATTGATCAAATAGCAATGATTGTACAGTATGTTAGATAAGACAGACTGTAATTTCTGGGCCAGAGTTAGGAGAATGTCAAGAACATGAGTGGAATGTGAAATGTAATTTTTTTTGTGCTGAAGAGTACACATTCTCCTGCCTTGTCACAACAGCAAAAGCAGGGATATTAGATAACACAATTATACATATTGCATGAAGTCAAAGATGGTACACAGAGAAGAGTTATGTATAATTACGATGGGACATCACAATTGTATAGTATTAAGAATGAGAGAGCAAGCTTACAAAGGCTCTTTAACATCATGGTAGTTACTCAAGAGTAGGCTTAGTAGTCATGCTAGGATATTATATGAGTAAAGGATTCGCAAAGGATTCACTCTGCCAGGTAAAGGGCTAGGAGAGCGGCCATCTCTCCTGCACCCACGCTTGAGTAGGCCGCAAGCCTTAACCCCTTAAGGACACATGACATGTGTGACATGTCATGATTCCCTTTTATTCCAGAAGTTTGGTCCTTAAGGGGTTAATGCTGGGGTTCCCACATTTGGTGTCCCTGGATACACCGTCGTCCCGTTATCCGGGTTATCTCTGGCACCAGTACAATATGGCAAGCGGCCCTGTTAATGGCCATTTTGCAGACTAGGACAGTGGAGCTCAGACAATGCACGTCTGATCTGTTCAGCAGACAGGCTCCACCCTCTAATGTGAAATTTTACACTTGAATTCACTGGCAGTAAAAATTTAACTTCTATTCCATTTTTAAAATGTTTACATATTTCTTACCTATTTTTGCTTATCCATTTTTTAAAAGCTCAGGGGTCACCATCTCTCATTAGGTGAGCTACATATCTACACACCACTAAAAATACATAAGTACCATGACCATTGCAGCTTAATTCAGTGGTCATGATGCAAGGTGCAGTATTCAGTTTTTTTAAAGTTTTTTTTTACTAGTAGTTTGACAAAAGAGCTTTTGCTGCTCATAAATTCCAGCCCCATTTAGCTGCTTAAAAAATCTGAATGTTTCACAAATTTGGTTGGCAGTGACAGACAGGGTGCCTAACTTACTTGCATACATAATACAGGGATGCAACTCTGCATTATGTCATTGTCAGCAAAGGGGACATGTTTTAGGTACTGGCTGTGGTATGTCACTTTAATTCTGCTCAACTTTTAATTGGACAAAGAGTAAGTTTACTGTCATACTTATGATCATAGACCGATCTCAAAGATGGCACATTTTATACCCCTTAAGAAACTACAAAATTAGAGCAAAAAATGGGTGGCAAGAGTATTCTGAGGACGGGCAGCAGCTAAAATAGCCTGCCCTTCGGTGGGTCCCCGCTCAGAACTCAAGCTGGTTTTAGCTCATCTTGTGCCATTACAGAGAGAACATATCTGAAGCATATCAGACTGGTCCCACCCATATGGGCAGTCCAGATCCGAAATGCCAGCAAGTTCTCTCTGCACGAGAGATACAGCAACCCCAGACGATCGTTTCAGCCTTGTTAGGCATCGTCAGTGAGGCATAGCTGATATCTCTCTAGGCACCGTGACCAAGGGGTCCACGTCTGGATTACCCTTTAAACTAATGGAGAGCAAAAAATGGGTGGCAAGAGTATTCTGAGGACTACAAAAAAGGTTTTCTCCAGGGAGGTTTTATATTTGCATCATAAATCAAACCATATTGTCTTTGATAAACTGGAAAAACTGAATGCACTTAAGGAACACATAAGAGAACATATTTACAATATAGATACTGGTAATTATAAATATACTGTAGGAATGCATTTTTAGAAGTTCTTCATTCAGGTTCCAACATATTGAAATGGAAAAAGGTAACTCCTCAAATACGAGTGAGATAGCAGATAAATATTTTGTTATTCTGTGGTTGAACAGCAAGGCAGGCAATAGCTTCCTCTTAAAAAGAAATCCCCACATTTAAGAGACCTAATATTCTAATTTACATGAAAGAGTGGAGGTGTGCAATAATAAATACAACACTCACTATGGGTGTCTTTAAAAATAGAACCTCCAGAAAGTAACAATCAGCATCAGACCTAGGTGCATACTAGGTGTATTGCTATTAATTATTGGTGAAAAAAGTGATATTTGTGACAAAGTGACAAGTGCATATACTTACAACAATGGTAATTCTGGTATCTACAAAGGAGACAAAAAACAACAGAGGGCTCCTAGTGCAACACAATTAAACATATATAAATATATTTGTGTTAGGTGCTTATGATAGTAGAAGAAGAGGGCCTACCCAGGGAAAGAAATTAGAAAATAAATGTTAAAATGTGGTGTGGTGGGAGGGTCATTCAACGCTGACCTCGAACGGTAAGGAGCCAGGTAAGGGGAGTGCCTTAAGTAGGCTAACCAGGTAGCAAACCAGGACCTCCCACAAATCCAGGCAAATTGCCTTAATACTTGTGTTAGGTGATTATGATAGTACAGTGTGAAATACCATAAATAAATGTAGGATAGTAAAAAGAACAAGTCGGTTGTGGTGTGCCGGAACCGACGATGAAGTAGGCCTGAGAAAAAAGAGGGCAAAATTTAAGTAATCAAATTTATTACAGACAACCAATACATATACATTTTATCAACCAGACATGTTTTTGAAAGCATCCCTTAATTCTTGTACTGGGTTCGGTATGTACCATGAGTAAGCGGATGACTTCCAGCGCCCCAGTGTTTTGATAACATGAGTTGGGATGTTGACACTGGAGGCTGTGGACGCGGCTCCTATACGAAAGGAGTGCCCTGAGTATTTGTCTGTGTTGAGGCCCAGTTGTGTAAGCAAGGACCTGACGTAGGTCATGAAGGTTGTAGTGGTGAGTACTGCACCTTGTAGCTGTAGTAATGGTTGTGAGGGCAGTAAGTTGTGATGCTGTATGTAGGCATCAAGAACCCTGATGGGACACCATCTGTTGTGCGTGGGATAGTACGGTATGTTTACGGGTATGTGCTGACTGGTTTTGGAGTGAGGTAAAGTCAGGATGTAATGATCCATATGTTTTGTCAAGTGGGAATAGAGGAGGAACGGAGTAGTTTGATTCGTGGAGGTTGTAGTGAATTCTCTAGGTCTTAGAAATCCATAGAAAGCGATGTATATTGCTGTTTTGATGACAGAATTTGTTGTTAAGTCAAGCAGGTTAGACAATGCTTTGAAGATATGGTTATCTATGGGTAGCCTCTGGGTTGTATGTGTGGGTTCTGATTTCTGAATACCTCTGAGTATGGTCTTAATTTGGTGAGAGGCCATGAAACTGTTGTTATTTGGTTGTTATTAGCATGTGGTGTTGAATGCCAGTGAGATAGAGTTTGATGGTGTTATTTGACATTTGAAGTTTAAGGTGGCAAAAGGAAGCTAACCCCCAAAAAGATGTCATAACAAATGGTTGCATGATGTTATGTTCCAAAAGGAATCGTTTGAATAGTGTGAAAGCCCTGTTGTATGTTTTGTTTGTATTGTTTGAAAGTGCCAGTTGGGACAATGTCCTGCTATGCTGCATGATGGTGTCTAGTCCAGTATGAGTTGTTGAAATGTTGGAGTGATGGTGGCTGTGAGCGCAGCTGATGGGAGTGCTTGATGAAACTCCTGAAAGTTAAAGCGAGACAAATTGTCAGCAGCTGTGTTACATACACCTGGAACATGGAAACAACATAGGAAAAAAATTATGACAAGCTGCCAACCAAGTGAGTTTACTCAGAAATCTCATGATCGTAAGGGATTTGGAACGACCTATGTTGATGATGTGACAGGTTGCCTGGTTGTCTGAGTAACAACGCACTGGCATATTAGCCCATAAATGACCCCATGCTACGGCAGCCGCCACGATGGGATAGATCTCAAAAAGAGCTGAGGTAGTGGAAAAACCTTCTAAATCCTGAACTGCTGAAGGCCAGCTGCCCCAAAGCCATTCGTTCCCAAAAATTGCTGCAAAACCATTGATAGATGCCGCATCTGACCAAATGGTAGGAGATGAATCAGTCAATTGAGGGAGGAACATACTTTTACCATTCCAAGTGGTTACAAATCTCTTCCACATGTTTAGATCTGCTGTAGATTGGGTATCTAAGGACAACCTGTGCGTGTCATGTAGGGAAAGTGGGAAAAGATGCAATAGCCGTGATATAAAGGAGCGGCCTTGAGGTATGATGCGCATAGCAAAATTTAGTGACCCTAGCAGGGACTGCAGCTCTTTCCGGTTGCAAGTACCGAGCTGAAAGTAGCTGTTTATGTAAGTGAGAATATTCTCTATCTTATCGTATGGTAGGCTTGCTTGCATTGTGGCGGAGTCTAATTGGATACCCAGAAAAGTGATAACTGTGTCTGGCCCCTCTGTTTTCTTTGGGGAGATAGGTACACCTAGTTGCTCAAATAGCTTAGTGGTAGCTTTGAGACTAGTGGGAGGCGAAGTATTCTCCTTGACCAGTAGGAACTCGTCCAGGTAATGTAATACCGTAGGGCATCTGGCTATGTTCAATAGTAACCAGCATAATGCTGCGGCAAATGTTTCGAAAATAGCTGGGCTACTTTTGGACCCAAAAGTTAACCGGGAGAAAAAGTAGTAGTTCCCGGACCACTTGATGCCATGCAGGTGCCACAGTGTGGGGTGGATTGGTAGTAATTTAAAGGCGTTAGTAATGTCGGTCTTACTGAGCCAGGCTCCAACCCCTGCTTGTATGATAGCGGTAATGGCGTGATCTATGGTGGTGTATTGCAGAGAAAATTC